TCGATTGCATCGATTGCTGGTTTCAATCGTTCCCCTTCACAAAGGCGTCGATTGCTGGACAGAATCATTCCCCTTTTGTATCGATTGCATCTGTTTGTTGTTTCTATCGATTGCACTTTGTTTGCTGTTTTTGTATCGATTGCATATGTTTGTTGTCTTTGTGATGATTGCATTTACAAACCCAGACAACAAGCTCATTTTGGTAATCTGCAGCAATAGGAACTACTTTTGTAAGATTGTTCATCAGATCTCCTTCGATTTCATTTTAGGGTTTTAATCGAAATTGTCAGTGACTGTAAAATTGATTGAAGTTGAAGATTTTAGGGTTTMGAATCCGATGTCGTTTCTCAAGTGGGTTTAGGAGTATGGTAGACTAATTTGATCATGGTGGTTAGAATTCTGGGATTGACTCATTGGGGGTAAATTAGTCAATTTAACCAGTTCTGTCCAGTCCTATCATGTCTTACCAAACGCTGAACAGCTGTCCTGTCCTGTCCCGTCCTGTCCCGTCCCGTCCTGTCTGCGTACCAAACGCACCCTTAGAGATGCTTTACTTATTTTTTTATTTTTTAAATAAATATTTTTTTTACAATTTAATTTCAAAGATTTTTATTGATCAAATAATTAAAAATATCTTATAACATTCATTTTTAAAATTATTGAAAAAATTAATCTTATAATTATCTATACTATATTACAAAGCATTTGACATAATTTTTTTTAAAAATTATGCATAGAGTACTATTTATTGATGCATGTTACTTAAAATTCAAAATTACAAGTAAAACGTGTATTAATGTATTATTATTAAAGTTTCATGTTTGAATTTGTGTAGTTAATCACAGATAAATATATATAAATACATGATAAATATTATTTTATTTTTTTTTGAAAGGCAAAAAGGAAGGACAAGGAAGAGAGCTACGGTATGGCCATCACCCTCACCAAGCCAACCAATAGATAAAAAACGGATCCAGCAAGAAGCTAGACGCAAGCAGAAACAAGAGTCCAATACAACGAAACAAGAACATAAGGGAACAAGACCAAAAAGACCTCAAAAAAAGAGGCCTAAACCAAAAACAAGCAAACCACAAAAGATCCGAGCGGCTAAAAAAAGATAAGGAGAAGAGGTCCAATTATCCCAATTCAGATTGAATTTGCGATTCCTGTTTCCCATCCAAAGCTTGGATAAATTTTGAACCCAAGGAAATGGGTCATCACCTTTCTTCTTAAATATTATTTTATAAAATATAATTAAAGTAATTATTTATCGAGAGAGAGAGAGAGACTTCATTTTACTCGAAATTGAGGGACAAAAAAAAGGTGAAAATGTCATGTCAAGAAGTGCGAGAGTTTAGGTGAGCATTTTAATGCAGTGGCCACCAACCCAATAAAACGACTCAATTTTTAATTATTTTCATTTTTAAATAATTTTATATGTCTAATTAATGATAATTAAAAGAAAAAAGTCTAAAAAAACTCAATAAATTTTAGTGTTTGAAATGATTAAGTCATTGAATAATTTTTTGGAACAAATAAGTCTTTAAACATATCAAAACATGTCAAATAACTCTTTGAACAAATTTTTTGGAACAAATAAGTCATTGGACATTCCAAAACATGTTAAATAACTTTTTGGACAATTTAAAACATGTTAAATAACTCATTGAATAATTTTTTGGAACAAATAAGTCCTTGAACAATCCAAAACATGTTAAATAACTCCTTGGACTTTTCTAAAATTTGTTGGATACATTCTTATAACTTGTACAACTAGTTAATGTGGTAAAATAGTGGAAAAAGTCCGAAAAAAACCAATGAACATTCATATTTTGAACGATTAAGTCCTTAAACATTTTTTGAACCAAAAATGATTTAGATCTATAAAATTAAACAAATATAACAAAAAAATACTTATATTTACAAAAAAAAAATTTAAAAAGATTTTTGATAAAATTTATTTTAATTAAAACTAAAATATATTTAGTCAGTGATTTTTCAAACTAAAAAAATATTAAAAAATTTATAAAGAATTATTGAT